GTTTTGTTTGTTAGGGATTTTTTTGTTGGTTTGTTGTTTTGTTTTTTTCTCTGTGCAGTTGGAGGGAATAAGAGCCATGGTACAAGACAAGAGGGTCAGTTAAACTTTATAGCAATGCCTGTAACTTAAATTCATGTTTGAAAGGAGGTAAGAAATACTGATGGAAAGCCTTAAAGTGCATGCATGATTTCTCATTTTGCCTTTTCTCTTTTTTGCCTTGTGAAACTTCAGTAATATACTTGGTGTAATACTTTCCTTGGATAAACTATTACGAGATTTATCAAATTGCTAATTCTTTTCTACTTATTGTATTAGTCATTTTTAAATTGCATGGTGTTCTTCAGATCTCTAATGGAAATTAATGCAGTTGCCTAGTAGATTAGTAATACAGTTTCTGTATCTGCATTTGTCAGGCAAAAACATGTGTCCCATATGACGACAATTCAGACTGAGATCAGGTTTAAGAAAATTTTTCTCCTAGTTGTTTGTGGAGTTCTATCAGAGTTTATTAGATATTTTTTGCTGCCATTGAACTTAACCAAAATCAGAAACAAAATTAAAAACACTGTTGACAGGTGCTGTTCTCTTGGTCTCCTACAGACAGTGACTTTTGTTCAGAACTTAGTGGTTCTTTTTCATAATTAGCCCTCATGGCTAGTGCTTTCCTCTTAATCCAGGCTCACTTTGAAAGGTGAGGTGACCCTGCACGTAATTTAGGTGTCAAGGCATTGTTTAAAGGAGGACAGCTAGTTTACAACAGTGTTTCTACTTCAGAACACCTTTTCGATTTCCTGTTCAAAATCTTGGAAAAACAGACTCTGTTTGTCTTTATTTAGTTTCTCCCAGGGGGAGTTTTACTCAATTAGAACTTAGGATTTCAAGCAGTCAAGGGCCTCTAATGTGGCATCAGGGCCATGGGAAGACTGAAGATCTTACCTAATATTTTTACAAAGCCTTGTGTTTTTAGTTATCTGGTTCTGGTTTTGAAGGTCTATGACAGTGAAGTTACCCTACTCTCTGTGAAACTGTGCTTTGGAGATGTGAAGTATGTATTTTCTTCAGACTGAGAAGCTTTTCTTTATTATTTAAAAGTTGAGGTTTTCCTTGGGGGTTTTTTGAGGGAGTAAGGGGAGGGGGGCTTGAAATCAGATGCTGTTAACAATGTATCTGAAGCTGAAAGCACTTTTGAAGAAAATTACCTGAAATGGTATTTAGCCATTATCTTTTAATATCTTTTCTTCTCCCCATCCAGTCCCTGCCATGAACTGATGCATGCAAGAAATACTTGTTTTGCTACCGCATATTCAGATAGCTGTAATAATGTGTTCTGGAATCCTTCATTGTGTCGTAGTGGATAAAGATAAAAAACAAGTATGCAAAGAGGAGAAAAAACTTAATTTAGTCTCTTGTTTGGTTTTATTTTAGATTTAAATTTCTGTATTCTAACTGTTTAACTTGGTAATCTATGCAGAGGAAATGTGAATGAAACAAGTTTTCAGATATGCCTGTTGGATTGCATGTGAATACCAGACTTTTATTTCTTCTTAATGAAAACATATAATTTGGGCAGAGTTAGAAGTGACAGATCTGCAGTGCATGACATTGCTCAAAGATTTTTCTCTGGGCTTGGTGTGCTGGATTTAGGTTATGCAAGCTTTCTTATGTGATTCTGTATTTGCTTCTGAAGGGTTTCAGAGTCACAAAAGATAGGGTGGCTAAGGACTGAAGAGCATCATTGCTTTTGGAAAGGATAAAGTCAGTTAATCTGACGTTAAGGTTGGTTTTTTGTTCTGCGCAGAATTGGCCCGCATGGAGAAATGTTACTTGTACCCGGACTGTAGGTCCAGTGCCTGCAAAGAGTTAATGCTCCAGAGGAGCAGAGGATTTCCATTTCATCCATCCAGAGGATTATAATTTTCAGCTGAAAGTTCAGAACCTTCTTGTTAGTGTCTACCAGTTGTTTTGGAGGAGCCAGGAGGTGATCATGGGTGAGCATGTTAGTTATTGTTTACTACCAAGATCACAGATAAATACCTTAGTTTTTCATTACTGTGAATATTGCAGTTCATGACAGCCCTGTTTTTTGTTTAATCAAAGCTAGCAGTGTTATTTTGTGTCTTTGTCTTTTTAATGCTTTGAAGAGCTTTTTGTCTTTATTTCAATACTTTGAAATGTTTTAATAGATGTACTTGTACCTTGTACAGTTCTTTATAAAAAAGTAGAACAGATCTGTTCTGTTTTATAGAACTTAAGCTAATTAAAAACTAACCCAGAGGGTAAAGCAGTATTTTCAGAAGATACTTAATTTCAGCATTTGACTGCTGTAATTTGTGGCTGACCTCTAATGTAGATATCTGCATCTGTTCCATTTTGTCTTTGTTATTCTGAAAAACCCTAGTTTCCTTAACTAGCAAAAAAACTAATCTTGTCCTCAAAGTTGTGCTGGTTAAACCAGGAAGGTATTTTTTCAGTTCATGTAGTCAAAGCAGCGCAAAACAGAGGCAGAAACTTCTAATTCTTAGTTTTGTGTCTTTGAAGGTCCAACTACGTACATATAAATGTGACTGAATTGAGTCAGTGTGACACTATGCTTTGTCTGAGGGGAACTCAATTTGGAGCAACTTTGATTATAGTTTAAAATAAGCAACATCAGCTTAATAATGGTCTGAATATCTGGAAGACAGCTTTTTATGCGTTAGGGTTTTTTTTTCCTTCTAAGTTTCCCTTCAAAACCATTAATTAAACTGTTCACACATGTTTTTATAACACTTAATGAAAACTGGTTAGACCAGATGCATTGGTTTTCTTCAGTCTCCCTTTTCCAAAAAGTGAACATTGTCCTTGTACCGCAAGTCTGAGTCCTGGCAGGATCACAGAGAGCATTGAATTAAAGTTTTTTAGTATGAAAGGTTAGAGTATCATGTGCAGGTTTTATTTATGAATAAAGGGTGAGGGTATGTTTGTGTAACAGGCAAGCAAGTCTCATAACTCATTCCAAAGAAAATCTTGTCTATAGTGTGGTAATTTAGGAGCTCATGTCTAGACTACTTTGAGAAATTGTAAACATGATGTCTTCAGAACAAGAGCATGGGAGTTTAAGAAAAAATGCTGCACTTTGTATGTTTAATATTTGACTGAATTCAAGGGAGATCAGGAGTATTTTGGCAATATCTGGTCTGCGTGACAGATGAATTCCTGAAAGTGCATATGTTGGTTTCTAGTAACATTTTCTTTCTTGAATACAGCATCTTTGGATTTGCGTGATTACGTGATGTAAACTACATATTTGACAGTAATGGAAAATTTTTACTTTAAATAATGGTGCACAAGTTTATGTACATCTTCTCGTTAAATTGTTTGTAAGTGCTGGAGAATCAGCCAAATAGGATCAAACTAATATTTGACCTGAATAGCTTCTACTGTTGTGCAGAGCTGTTGATACACAACATTAAGAGTAGTAAGGATTTTTATTTTTTTTTTATTCTACTACACTTAATTTTGAACACTGTAATCTCAATCACTGTAAAACAGTTTCAAGATGCAGGTAAATACCATTTTTCTGTTTACTGTGTGCAAAGTTTTGTGTTCTTTGGTGGTGGTTGAATGGTGTGCTTACTGGACCATTGGACTAGGTGGAATGTAGCTATAGTAGTATTTACATCATTTGAAGTCTCTGCCACTGGATTATTCTGATTGGTTTTATTTTGGGGTGGGAAGGGACTTCCAAGTTCAAAGACAGACATACTTAAGTTCAGACAAAATTACTGTTTCATACAGGTGATACCAGATGAAGGGCAATTATGAATCCTAATGGTCTCCATTCATCAGTGTATTTGTAAGCATAGTCCAAATCTGGTGTCAGAAAGCCTTAACTGGATATTACAGCAGACCAATGGAATTACAACAAACAGTATTATGCTATAGATTGTGCTCAATTTAAGTCAGTCCCTAAATTAATGCATGTATTTAATGTTTGCAAAGTTATCATTGTTCTAGGTATTAGATGTGCTTCAACAGATATGTGAGGAAGGTGTTGTATCTATATCCCGTGTGTAATTGAAATTACTTTATTAGTAGCTTTTTAGTAAATTAATTTTGTGACAGGTTTTAGAGAAAACCATTATCTTAGGGGTTAAGTAAAGATTAAAATGAATATTTGGGTAATAAACATGATTGAGCATAAAGGCTCTTATGTTTATATCTATTTATTCTTCCTAGGTTTTTATATTCTTTGTTGTTTTAGAGCAGTGTTGGTTTAGAGTCTTTCTGTATAATGTGGAACCTAGTACTTTCAATGTTGCTGTCAACACTGACGTGGCTGTTTCAGTTTTCTATTACCCACTGATCTATTAAGGCTTTGTCTTGCAAAAGTTGCAATATTTTAAGCTGCTAGATAGTAATGCTTATTAATCACTTATTACTTATTAATTACTATTTCTGCTCTAATTGCTTCAGAATTTTTCAGACATTTGTTTGTCCCTCTTCTTTTTGAGGGAGAGGATGTAATTTGGATATGTCTGGACCAAGAGAGTATCATTAATAGTTGGAAATGTATAATTGAAAAGAGAAGGTCTGCTTTATTACTGTCTTGAATTTTATGTTAATTTTTAAAAGACAAGCAATTATTCTATGTTGTCACCAGAAAGAAGTTAAAGCCTATAAAGCTTCTAGTAGTTTCAGAGGTGGCAAACTCCAGCTTCACATTTGTGTTCTTTGCAGCATGGGAGAAGAACTGGCAGGACTGCATGCCATTTAAATTAAATTGTTATACATAGAAACTAGAGGGAAGAAGCTTGTCTTACCTGTTTGGGGAGTATCTGTCAGCATATTTAAATGAAAATTTATTTTGAAACTGTGTGTTTGTAATTATCAGCACATTCCTAAGTAGCATAACTAGTTTTTGATCAACTGGCAAAGGTATCTTCAAAACATGTAATAACATTTAATGCATTGTAAACTCTGCACCTTTTGATTTATTTGTGTTATTTTTATTTTTACAGGATTACAAAGCCATTGACGTTTGCTGACTGTGTTGGTGATGAGCTTCCTTTAGGATGGGAAACTGTTTACGATCAACAGATTGGAGTTTATTATATGGACCACATAAATCGTGAGTAGATATATGATTGTTTTGAGGAATACTAGCAAGCTGGTGTTTACTCTTGCCCCTAACTTTGCTTCCAATACCATTTGTATACCTTGTGCTACAGTGAGTAAATGTATGCAAATAATTTCTTGCAGAATATGTTTCCTTGTCTTTCATATGGGGGCATAATTGTAATTCCATTTGTAAAGAATTTTACAATGATTGAGCTTTAATGTATAAAAGTATTTTGGTTTGCTTGGTCAAACTGTGAAGTATTATTTATTTTGTTGTTGCTTTTTGTCATACATCAGAAAGATTTTTATATTTTAGTAATTAGAATTTTACATTTTGTTAAATTTGTTGTATTTCCTATTTTTCCAGTCATCCATAGTTCACTTTTCTAGATGGAAAACCAAAATACATTCTGTGAGAGGTGTGCTGGTTTTTAATCAGAAGCACTGTGAAATACAGTAATCTCATCCTTGCTTAAGCAATACATGTTTTATGTTTAAATATAGTACAAAATGCTATCAAAAAGACAACAGATGTCCCTTTTGGAAACTAATTTTGAACACTTTCCCCTTTGGACTATTGCTGAGCTTAGTATCACCACTGTGGTACACTGGCCAGTTCTGCTTTAAAAAAAAAATGTCTTATCTTTATAGCTTTGTACTGCTGCTGTTACTGTTGTGCTATCATTAAGCTTCTTATCGCCATTGAGTGAATGCTTTCGGTATTGTGGGAATTGGCAGTTGGTGGGGGACTAAGAAAAGAATAAAGTAGTTATATGGGCTGTCACAGCTAAAGTAAATAGTACAATCAGAAGAACAAACATCAATACTATCTACTTGAGATCTAGTCAATTAAAAAATGAAAGTGTAGAAATAAGTTTGGGCTTCCAGCCATCATTGGAATTACTTGTATATTGTAGTTTCACAATTACGTGCTTAAAAAAACCCAAACAACAGAATAATAAATGTTCCCAAGGTATTGTTTGACCTATACAGGTACTTATTTGTTGTGAAATTTAACAAATCATTAAATGATAAACTTTAAACAGCTGTTAATACATTAAACACAAGGATAGATAGACAAGAAAACTCAAAGGCAATTAATACAGATTGTTGGGTAATTCATACAATAACTGTGTTAAAAAACTATTAGTTTAAGGATCGCTGTCATGGTAACTTCAGTAATACTGAAATTTGATAAAAACTGAGGATTACATTGGAGTATAGTAACCAAACCAACTCTTGCACCAAAGTATGTGTATGAATTCATATATTAATAAAAAAAAAGAATAAAAGAAGGTATTGCCAACTCTTTTTAACTTTTTTTTTTTAATTTGTAGCTGAGTTTAGAGTCCCTACAGAAAATGAGTAGCACATGAACTACTATTGTAATGCTGTACCTTAACAAAGCTACTGATAGGCCTCTGTGGTAGGAATAACAAAAAAATCACATGCAAAATGGGGCTTCCTTTTGCTTTTTGAATTTTGTTATTAGCAGCTTTACCACAGAATTCAAGTTTGAACTTACATAAGGGATATTAATCATTGTAGGCATGTCAGATCTAGCTTGCATTTTTTTCTATGCAATTGAGAGCAAAACCTGTAGATGAGAGTCTTTGCAAAGAGCAATTGAGTTCCCAAATGTTCAGTGGGCAGACAGAAAGAAAAGATAAATATTAATAGGTCTGGAAAAGTAAAGCTAATCATATTAGGTATGAAGTAAAGTTAATGTATGAACAGAGGGATAGAAACTTCATGGGGGCAGTGCTGAACTGAGTAAAAGGAATCATTCAACAATTAACAAGGTTGCAAAATTAGTCTCTTTCATGATAACTAATTACTTGCAGCCCACAGATATTATCCTAAATGGTAATTCAACTGTCACAGTAAAATGGGTTTGTCACCCTTAGGCTAGTACAGCACTTTCATATACCAGCAAGATTTATAATAAGAGGGAAGATAGAGTTGATATTATAGCTGGATAATTATTATTCAAAAATTAGTAGGATACTAGATCCAGTTTTTAAACTGTGGACAACAAAGGTACCAATCAAGACTGCATTAACTTCCTTTGTAGAAATGAGAACTAATGAGTAGACAATCACGTGCATCATGAGGTGGTGTCAGACAAGTGGCAGAGGTGGTGTAGGAGGTGGAGAAATATTTTTCTGAAATGAGTATGTCTGAGCCACTTGGAATGGCAGCTTCAGGAGAAAACATTTGAATTGCCTTTTGTGGCTGACTGGGTTAAATGCTTTATGCAGCATTGGAGTTCTGTGTTAATTGACAAAACAGTTAGAAGTGCTTTGGTGTCAAGAAATACAGTGAGAAAATGCAAGGGATAATTCAAAGAGAGTCTTTCTACTCTTACACTTACCAGGGACCTCTCATGCTTTGTGCACTCTCTGAAGATTTTTGTCCTTGCACCTTTTAAAAGAAAACAGCAATACATCTGATTTTTTTCCAAGGCTCTTGCTATGTTTGTTTACCCAGGAAGCAAAGAAAAAGTTTTCTAGGCAATAGTTTTCCATTTAAACTGGAAAAAAACCAAGAAACAGAAGAATCTTCTGTAAATCTCAATGGTGCTTCCAACCCTGATCTCCATCTTGTTCTGTAAATTCAGTACTTTGTTGACACCCTTACTAAGCTGCTGTTGGCTGTTATCCAACCATTGCTTAAAAACCTTGGCAGTTGCCAGCCACAGAATTCCTTTCCCTCCTCCTCAGAGTCTTGGGAGCCTTTGAAGTCTCCTCTAAGCGTTTGGGCATTCCCCAGTGAGGGAATAATATATTCTCTGCATTTGTCTGGAGCTGTTCTTGAGTTAGTATAGTGTTTTTTAAATTGGTTGTAAAGAAATGAAGTAAGTTAATTTTATCATACAATGTAGTTTTAGTCTTGTTATGTGGCAAACTTGTTTAGAAATCCAGGGCAAAGTTTCATAAACCAGAAAAAAACAGAGCTTCCCATGCACAAAAGAAGTTTTCTACCTCAGATGAATGCTGCTAGCTTTTCAGAAGGCTTCTGAAATAATTCTGTGAGAAATGCAGTGCCCTTAAGTACAGGATCTTAGGAGCTTAATGTGTAATAGAACATAACACCTTAGCCTGGGCTGTTTATTGAGATTAAGACTAATACACCATTCAAAGATAAAACCTGAATCCTAGTAAGCCTATCTGTTTTATAAATATTTACTGATTTCTCATAGTTTATATGGGGGTATAGCAGGTTTTGGAATATTAAAATTTGCACAGATTTCAGGAGTACTAATGGACAGATCAGGTAGCAGTGGCAATTGAAATGCCCTCAGTGAAGGGTGGGCAGCAGTCAGAACTCTGTTTTCTTCTGCTTGCCCTCCATGTAGAGAAGGATTTACGGAAACTCAACAAGCCAAAGCACATCCTGTCCTTGGCCGAGGAGCTTGTTTTGGGTCATTGGAGCCATAAGGGAATTAAAGGGGTCCCTTGGAAGTGGGGAGAAATTGCAGAACTCTAGGCACTATCTTTAATACTGTTTCAATGTGGAGAGTTGCAGGGAGAGAAAGGTACAGCTGTTAAGAGAAGATGTTATTTAGGAACCTAATCTGCAGATCTCTGGAAACCCTGCTTTTTAAAGAGCTTTCTGTTTTTGTTTATATACTTTTCAGATGGCTCTCAAATGATAGAGCTGTTAGCATCACCTTGACACCTCTATAGTTCTTAATCTGTTGGGCTCAATCTTCTACAGTTTTGTATTTCATCACTGGCACCAATACACTGAATTATGTACTCAGGATTAATGTAAAACATAATTGACTTTCATCTCTTGTAAGGAACCAAGTTTGAAAAAAATTGCTAGGTGCTTAGCTCCTGACTGTGCTGCAGGTTTTGCCACTACTTTGAGCACTGACATTGTGTCTGCAGCAGCTTGTTACTAGTAGAGCTTCAATCAGAAATTAACATTACATTTAAACACAAGGCTTTACATGGACATCTTCATGTAAAACATATTTGTTGACTCACAAAAACCCCCAAAATGAACCAATAATTTCAGGACTTTAATGTGTGTCATCATCAAATGTCTTTGCAACTGCAAAGAGATTGTTATGCAGTAATGGCCTTGAAAATCAATAGATATAGGAAAGTTTTTTTTTTAAATTTGTTTTTGGGTTTTGTTTAAATAAAAACTCTTCTAAACCCTGGCAATGAAAAACACCAGACTGCTGTTTCTTAAGAAAAAAAAGGAGAAGTGATTTAAAAGCTTTATGGATTCAAGACTAAGATGCTGATTTCTCTATTGAATTACCTTATTCTTCTTAACTGTGCAGTGGTAGCCTTTGTCCTTTGAAGATGTTACACTTGCAAAGTTGTATGCAGTATCATAGGATAATTCCAGCTATTTATAGACTTGCGGGTTAAGCATTGAGATACCTTTCACTTTTCCTCATCATTCTGTTTTTAGGTAGTTCTTGGAGTTTTCAAGTTGGCTATGAGGGAAGGTTGGAGCCAAATTACTGTTTTCTTTGGGTTTGCACTGGTTTGTAAAGAAAAGAATAGCATTTAAATGCCTTTTATATTTGAAATAGCCTTTCCTGTTCTTTCACTCTGGATCTTTCCTTCGCATCCTGACTGGAGTGATTTTGGACACTGTAGTGTTGGTTGTGCTGGTTGAGAATAGACATTAACAAAAATAACTTGGACTTGGTGTCATAGAATTTTATTGTAACGGTTTTACTTTTTTCTTCTTAGAGCTCACACAAATTGAGGACCCAAGGGAACAATGGAGAAGGGAGCAAGAACGCATGCTAAAGGAATATTTAATAGTTGCCCAGGAGGCACTCAATGCCAAGAAGGAGATTTACCAAATAAAGCAGCAGCGTTTTGAACTAGCCCAAGAAGAATATCAGCAATTGCACAAAATGTGTGAGGATGACAGCCGTTCCTATGCCAGCTGTGAGTTTACTATCTTTCCTTCATTTTACCCACCTGCCCTCACAAGATGTGGTGTAAGAAATAGTGTGAAGTATTTCCAACACCCGATTCTTCTCTGAATGAAGGTCCTGACTGCAGCAGTGAGGTGCTATGCTTTGACTCTGCAATTCAGTGTCTCCCAATTGGTCTATTACAACAAGAGATTTAACATTTAATAGGGATAAATGTTAACATTAAAAAGGGATGTAACATTAAACAGGCATATATCCCAGCTGGTGTTTCTACCCATCTTGGAGCCAGCTGTAGTGATGCTGCCTGCAAGGCAACAAAGAACGTTGCTGGACCAGCTGCCTACCTGCACTCCTTAACTCAAAGCTTGTTTTCCCCTTAACATGGGAGGGAGCCATCACCTTAGGGCAAACCTTCTGTGGATCCATAGCCTGTTTAGCAAATTTTATAAAGAGTTAGTGGCAAGCTGTTGTGTTCAGGAGTACCTCTGACTATGAACTAGGAAACAATATTTCATTAGTTCACCTCATTCTTAAGTGCCAGCTTGTGATATTTATGTTGGTGATACAGAGCTTTAATTTCCTGCCCTTTTCATTCTTCAAATGACTCTGGTAGCTTGGAGTAGATGATACACTTTTTCTGAATTCTGAAGATATTGCACCACTGTCATAGGTGTTGGCTGGTGCAGTAAGAAAAGGTGTCTTTGTCAAAGAGTCATCCAAACTAGTTCAGAGAAGTTGATATACCCAACAGCCACATGGAAATAGAGTGGAGTTTTACTGGTTTTAACTGGCGTTTTTCAATGGCTGTACAGTGTACAGCCATTTTAACTGCAGGTTTGCTGTTAAATGCCAAGGATTTAATAAGAATGGGAAGCTTTGCTTTAGCCTCTTCTGAAAATGTTCAAGAAATCTGACTGTGGAAGGGGACTTACAGCAGGTGTCTGGATAGAAGCATTTAGCTACTGATTCAGTGGTATTTATTAATCCAAGATAATTCATACATTGCCAAAATTCTGAAGAAAAGATGTTTTCTAGAGCTGAGGTGTCTCAGATGGTTTGGACCAACTACTCCGTTACTATTGAACTGGGATTCTCATCTTTTTGTTCAGTTTATGTATATGTATTCTGTGATCCAGTTTGTGACATAACTGAACAGTTGTGACTACTCTTATTTCCCCTTCTCATGTTCAAGTTTTTGAAGAAGTAGCATGATATTTTCCTATTAAGAAAGTTCTTTTTTTAAAAAAAATAAACTATTGTTTAAAGTGTGTTTAACAACTATTGAAAGACTTGGAATAGAGTAAAAGATAGTGTTATGCCTATTTTTTGAGATGTATAAAATCTAAATCAACATTTATTACTTTCTTGGACCGTGGGCTTTTTGGTTTTTTAAAATTTGCAGTAGTTCTGTGGGATATTTTGTTGAATTACTTCAGCTCAATATACAGAAAGAAGCTTTCATTGAAGATGAAAATATACTAGAAAAATATAACATCTTTCATATTTTTGAAGCTCTTAGAAAAATAAGGTATTTGAAACAGCAACAAAATATGACTGAAAATGACAAAATTGAGGGTTATCTATTATGAAAGCAAATGCTATGTCAATTTACTTATGTTTCTCAATCTTCTCATAATTGGGGTTTTGTAGGTATATCTAGAGTTGATAATGAAAATCCCTAAGACCAATAGCATAAAACCGTTTGCTTGTTTTCAAGTGGAAAAATACTACTTTTCTACAGATGTTTTAATATATTTTATATTGGTTTAAGATCATATGCATCTGTTTTGAGAAAATGGGATTGGCTGATTACTCAGATGATTTTTTAAATTATTTTTTAAAATATCCTTTTGGGGGGTAATCATGCTGTGAACTCAAGATTCCCAAAAGCTTCTTCTCCACTTGTTTTTCTGAATTTGTCTCCTCCACTACACTGTGAGATGCTTGCTTCTCCTTTTATTGTACAGAAATATCAGGCTTCTAATTCTAGTGCAATTACATTACTGAAGTTGGATGCTCATTTATCTTTGCCTCCACCACCACTTGTTTCAAGTTGCTGCACTAAAAGAACTAAAACTTCACAAAGAGTTTTCCTCCACTTTGCTTGTGGTTGCTGCCATTAAGTCAGTGTCGTGTGGTTATGAGTGGGAGGTGGTGTGAGCTCAGTGGTTGTGGGTTGGCAGGGTGATGCCCATGCAGCAGTTTTGTGACTCAGTTGTGATCAGCACCGTTTAAAAATAAAGTAAAAAACACAGAAAATTCTGGATTTAGAGAATTAGTCCAGGCATGACTACTCATTTTGGCAAGTTCCTGCATGCTCGACATGACCTTGACATTGCAGTATTCTTTTGAGAGTCGAAGGGCCCAGTGCAGCCCCAGACACGGGTATGGGTTTCAGTACAGAAGCCTTCAGCTCTGCAAAAGGATGGAAGGTCTGACAGCACAACCCCATTCATTCACATACCAGGCATTTTTCAGTGGGCCAGTGCTGCCTTGAATGGCTCACTCCATAAATCATGGTTGCTCTTACCCAGTCTATCCTCTAGGACCTTTACTTAACCTATGTAGGCTTTAGTTTGTAATGCCACAGCTTGACATCGTTGCCTGACTGTAGGTGCCCTGTGTTAAGAGCTCTCTTGCCAGGGTTGATTTGTATTACAGTTCCCTACACTGTTGCTTTAGAAGGCAGCTTCTCTCCCTAGCTGGTATAATTTTGTTGTGACAGTAATTTTTTTTAACTTTACTCCCTATTGTACTGTTAATTCAGTGTACCTAGGAAGTAGCTAGTAATTGTTAATATTACACAAATTTCTTGCATCAGTAGATGCCATCATCCTATCATAGAAGCTCATTGTTTTTAGGAAATATGGGGTGCTGCTATATATAATTTTTGTTGTTGTTCAGGACAAAGAAAAAAATTCCAGGTGGGCCAAATGGAAATCTTCAATTGTACTGCAGCACAGAGGATAATTTTAGAACCTAGTGACTTGTAAGAAAAAGAATTAATGTAATGGTTTATTATATAGTGCCACATCTCAACAATTGTATTAAAGAAGGGGGGGAAAAGTAAAATACTGTTTTCCATCTGTTTAGCATTCTCTGGATTTTCAGCTAATACCAAGTATGACCCATATCAGATTAAAGCAGAAATAGCCAGCCGTCGTGACAGGGTGAGTAATCTTTTTTTCATTTTGTAAAAATATGAAATAGGCATGGGGAAGGGAGGGAGGGTCTGTTTTTCTTTTACTTCAGCATGTTCTCTGATAGTTGCATGCATTTATAGAAATACAGTATTGAAAAGTGCTTTTTAATTCTAACCCATTGCTCCATTAAAACAGCTCTATACTGACTACATTTCGGTGACTTGAGAAATAATTCTTTCACCATCTTGCAAGTGCAAACACTTCTGTCACAGATGTCAGAGGCAAGCTCAGCAAGGTTTTCAGAAATTGCTTTCTCTCTGCGAACTGCCACAAGTAGTAAATGCTCTGCAGCCAGATTCTTTCAAACCCACTGTCTTCATACCATTTACCCATTTTCAGTGAGGTTCTGCTGGCCTGTAGGTTTAGCCACTTATTTGGAAATCTCTTCACAGTTCAGTAGACCTATTGGCCAAATAGAATTTTCCAGCTGATTGGCCAGAGCTCTTTTATGAGGAGAGGGAAGTTCAAGTATTCTGACAATGAGAGGCAGTTCTGTAACAAAAATGTTCCTTGTTTATATATTTTAAAAAAAAATAGAGTCATGGTTTTGATAAATAAGTATTTTAAAAAACACTTATCCTTGCAGGATAGTGTTCCATTTTTGTTATAGCGACCACTTTTCACATGAGCGCCTCTGAAAATAAATCCCGTTCACCACCCTTCAAAGGCATTTATTCTCTCTGTATATATTTATTACATGCTGACTAGTGTTTGCTTGTTTTGCATACTCTAAATGTCAGCATATTCTAAACAAGAAAACAAGCCTTATTTAACATTTGAAGAAAACAAACAAGGTTTTCACTTATGACTATTTTCTTCTCTTCCTCTTTAAAACAAAATGACCTACAATATGCATACAATAGTATGCTCAAGTGACTGTGTGAATAGGCATTGAGTTGTTTCAGGAAATAAAATGAAATAGGCACCATAAAGTTTTTGTGTACATGATATTAGTGTTGCATTTTCTCATTTTACCTTTGGTGAATGTTAAAGGAGCTGGTGAGGGTATAGGAGGGGGCTGGTGCCATGAATTTTGATGAAAGGGAGAGAACTGTGCAGGATGGTGGGACTTTTGACAGTCCTGGTTTGCATTCTGGTATTGGTGCAAAGCCCCTTGCTCTTGGAATAGAGCTGAAGAAAAAGATGATTTTTTAACTCTTTTTTTTTCTTAATCTGTTTTTTAATGATTTTGTCATTTATTGATGTACATGTGAAAAGCAAGAGTGCTCTGGGTAAAGTCTAGAAAATACGCTCTTTGGTAGCTTAAGAAGAGCTTTTTTTCTTCCAGCCCTGCCCCTCCTGGGGCTCGCAGCTCAGTTTTAGCCTCACTACCACATACTGAAACAACCCTGTTCCCCTCATTTGTCTGCTGTCCCTTGCATTCCCCTCCTGCTATTGCCTTCAGTTATCTGTCAGCTTTGGAGGGCAAGAAGCTGTTTCTTTGCAGATCATTCTTGGCTCTTCCATGGTCTGCATAACCTATTCAGGTAACTGTTTCCATAAAACCACAATAATAGGTTTTTGGAGACGTCTTTGCTATGTCACTTGATTTGTGCTCATTAGTTGGATCAAGGTAATTGACAAGGGGTTGAGAGGGCAGGATGATATGAAAATAACTGTAGAAAGCTAGGCTGCCATTTCTGGGAGAGAGAACAGTTTTGCTGCCAGTAATTTTGTTTTCCTGGATTGAAAAATTAATAAATAGCATTTGAATGTTGCATATTTTTTAAAGTTGACTAAAGAATTGAAGACAGTTAAGAGGTATCTTTGCTACAAGGGGAGAAGAAAGTTTATATGAATTGAAACTTGTTAACTGTTAGCATAAGCAATTGATGAAATAGCTTCCTGATGGAATAGATGAGGAAATTGATATTTCAAAAGCTGAATGTTTTGGCTGCTGTTTGGTTGGGCCTTATGATATTTAAGAAAGTCTTCTGTTACTTTAAGGCAAAATTTTAAAGCAAAAAAAGAGAAGAGAAATTATTACTAAAGAACTATAGTTCTTTAAAGTAGCTTAAGATTTTGTATTTAAAAAACAATTATTTTTATCGTGTAAGTTACTGTTGCTTATTTTTACTTTTAATTACTTTATATTATTCAGCTTTCTAGGCTGAAACGAGAATTGGCACAGATGAAGCAGGAGTTGCAATATAAAGAAAAAGGAGTGGAAACTCTGCAAGAGTAAGTTAAGAGTTTGTGGGAGGATCTTCTGTTGGGGTTGTTTTTTTTTTTATTTGCCTTCGAATAAATTTCATAGAAAAGTGTTGTCAAAAATAAAATGTTAAATGCTGTGCTTCAGACTTTTTGCTGTGATGGTGATGCAGGGTGAGAGCAATGTGAAAGGATGGAAGAAGAGTTAGAAAGAATTGGTTGGAGTTGTGATTTTGTAGGTTCACATACAATAATAGCTTTTCAGGCCATGTTCTTTAACTCTTTCTCAAGATGTTGCCAAACTGGAATAAGATTTTAAAAAATATTTCCTGAATACGTTTTGGAGATAACGACTGCCTGGAGCACAGCCCAAAGCAGCATGCTGTATTTTCCCTGTGGCAGTACCAAGGCTTTCTGGCTGGGCACATAGCTTTTCTTAGGGGAATTTCTGTGCACCACAACACTGCTTCTCCCTGTTATGGTCAGGCCATCTCATTCTGCACTGCAGGGCTGTTTTGTGTTTGTACTGTAAATCTAGTGCTCTGTGAGACCTTGGATTGTGTTGCATGTGTGCAAAATGTTTGCATGTAAATGTGACTCCTTGTCTCCTCCCACTAAGGAAAGGAAGCTCAGGGCAATTTGCCACTGCTCCCAGGGCTCTTGGGCAGCCCTGTTCTGTTTCCGGCATGCTCAGTGGTGTCAAAAGTTGTGAAATGTTGTGGTGACCCTCTCCCTGCCACTCTTCCTGCAGGCCATCTGATGGGAAGGGAACTGCGTGACTTCCATCAGTCACCTACACACATAGCTCGTACACGGCATGCCCAGTGGGATAGGGAGAGAGGTTGCCAGGCCATGAAAAAGTTGTTATGGCTTCTCAATATCTTCAGCAAGACCAGTGGCTAGACCAAGAGCTGGAACAGCACTTGTATCCACCTTGGATATGTGGCAGTGCATTTAGAAACCTTGGCCTTTTTTCCAGCATGCATGTGAGCAAACTGCCTAATGCAGAAGCTTCCTGAAAGTGTTGGAACTGTTGCATGTCTAATGCATTTTGCAACATAAGTGCAGCAGCTGCAGAAATATTTTGAAGCTTTGGATTTATTGCATTGGCACTACAAAGCATGGGCTTTCACTTCAGGAATTCTGATGAAATTCCAGGGATCCTGGAGAACTTAGGGTACTTACTTTCCAATTTTAATTGGTACTACAATAACAAAACAAATTAAAGGAAGATTCTAATATTTAACTTTTAAAAAATGAGTAACCCATGCACTTAATATTTTTGTTTTCTTAATAACAAAATTTTCTGGTTTTTTTTTTTTTTTTTAAACAAGGCTCTTTTGTTTTATAGTGCATTTAGAAAGTTTCATAGAAGAAAACTTGTTCAACTAAAATACCAAAATTCTTAATTGGCAGATACAATGTAATAATTTTCAGGCATAAATGTTTTTTTAGTGAAGCATTTAGAGATAGTCGGGGGAATTGGTAGTCCATGATATTAACTGAAAAATAGTAAAATAAAGCACTCAAAGTATTTGCAGTTTCAATATACTAGGTAATATTTTAAATATAGTCAGAGTCTTGGTATGGTGGCCTAGATATGTAAACAGTAACGGAACAAAACCAATTTTGTCTTACGATTTTTAATCATATTTTCTTTGAGTAGGAATTGCTACGCCTTTCCTACTTTTTTGTTTTCTTTCTCTTGGTTATTGGGTTATTTTAAGGGTATAGGTTCAATTATTTTATAAAAGGATTGACCACTTGACTAGGATGATGAAAGTATGTGAAATCCATTTGAAATTCAAGATTGTTTTAATTAGTATAATTCATTTAAGATCATCCAGCAAAGTAGTGTAACTTTTTGAAAAGTAAAGTCTGCAAATGATTAAGAATACAAATGTTAGTCTTGGACTATAGCCCAAGTTGAGTTGCCCATGCTCCAGGATGGGGTTATAGGAGAGACATTCAAGAGAGGAATTATTTTAGAACATATCTGATTAGTCAGTGGTCACTCCAATCACATAGTTTAAAAGTTCAGGCATGACAGCTCAGTGTTTCAGTGTTGCGCTTTGCTGCTGCTGCTACGATCGCCCTCTGTCCCACTGGTGCACTGCCTGGCATTTTTCGCTTGCTGGAGCTGGGGAGAACCTTTTGCCTGTTGTGTGTTACCTGGAGCTGAGCTCTGCTCTCTGCATTGACTTTTTCACTTGTTAAAGAGACTTGTGGTTTTGTTTTGTGCTTTTAAGTGTTTTTTTTTTTTAATTTGCCCTTCTGTTGAGATACATGCACTTTTTTTAGGAGTATTTTCCTTCTAGGAGGAAGTGAGACAATTTGGAGAGTACTTAACTAACAGCTGAAGAGAGGAGCTTCTCTCACCCCCTTATGTAGTCAGTAGACAAATTAGCCTGAAAGCCTAACTGTGCTCTAGGCTGTCCCTGTGCAATCTCTCCTCTACCTCCTGTATTTGTTGGGAGAGGGGTTACTCAAGTCAAGTACCAAGGGTGAAGTAGTTTAGTTTTTCCATATCCTTGAAGTAAGTATATTGTCTAAAAAGAAATTAATTTGTCCTTCTTTAAAACAAAATGCTGGGGTTTTTGCTCTGTTCACTCCCTACCCCACTTCCCCTTCCTCTTTAAAGTTTATTGCATTTCAGACATTTCCCACTTCTGTTAGGTTTTCTAAGTTTTTGGTCTGCGTCATCTTCCTTCTTGTGCTAAGTCAAATCTTCAAGTAACTGCCAAACTGCAAAAGGCATGTATCCTGTTCATGTTTTTTAAAGGCATGTACATCACTTTTATTTCAAGTGTAAGCCAAGAACAACATTAGGAGCCGTCAAACTTTGTGCTTTACGTCTGGCTGAATGTTTGCTTTGAAAGTATTACCAAAATGGCATCACGTGCAGATACTGGAACTTGCTGCCAGGTGACTATTTGTGCTGTCTTTTCTTGGTATAGCTCTCAGAGAAGAGACAGCTTTTATGGAGAGGGCAATTGGATGCTCAGTATTTCCATCATTTTATGTTCCTGTCAGATTCAAATGCCTTTGTCAAATGCAAATCTCTTACATTGACATTCTCCATGTACAGTATCTGCCTTGGACTGTGTTTTGTTTTCTGTTTTTTAGTTTTAGTAAAATGGCTTAGCCATCTTTGAGGAGAATGAAAAGAAAACAAGACCACAAAACAACTATAGAAGTGGGGTTTTAAGAATGGAGATGTGATTGGGGGTGGTTCGGTATCTCTACAACTTCAGTACTGTCAGAATTCCAATATTAATAGAGCTGCAGCTTTTTATCGGGACCCTGCTTTCTACAGTTTCATCTAAATTTGTCAATGTTGTGTGATAAAACTTTCGACATGGGTTTATGTTTGCCCAGTGGAGACTTTGTAGAGCTCACTGTTCAAAGCCTGCAAAGATCTCCACCCTGCAAGATGCTGTACCTCGGCCTTCTCCAGCATCTTTGCCCTGAGGTGTGTCTGATCCTGTCATGGTCCAGACTTGCAGGGTTAAATATGAGCCTTTTCTTGAACAAATTCCTTCCCCTGGCCTGACAGCACGGACTGAGAAGGAGGAGCAGTTCCTTCTCCCCTGTGTTTTCAGTGACCCTACTGCTCCCCGGCAGGAATTTTGGAGGAAGAAGGCATTTAGCAACAAAGGAAACGAAAACTTGGCCAGTTGGCCAGGAGAGCAGAATACTGTGAGAAGTTAGGAGGAACAGGGAATTAGGACTGGCTAAACAATTTGTAGCTACAAACTAATTTAGAGATTAGGAGATCCAACGAAAACTTTAAAATCAGATTTTTGCTCAGGTACAGGCCTGTGCTTTGGTGGAGGAAAATGGGGGAACATGGAATCTGCCCTGTAGGACTGAAATGATGACAAGCATATTAATATTCCGTGTATCCTAGAAACATCTTCATATCCTTACAGTCTTGCATATTAGTTGAATATTCTTGCTATTCATACAAAGGTCTGATCTATGTTTGTATCATGCTGTTTTACATTAGTAAAATGGAAGACTTCTGTTAACTCTATGGCTTTCAGAAATAGATGTTTATAAAAAAAGGGAAAAGAATTAACAGACAATAAATAACAGGTAATTTTGTAAGCTACTGTAGTCAGTTTGGGTTGACAGCAATACTGATTTAAGCCTAAATATTTTTGGTAGTTAGGAACTTCTCTGATTCTTTCTTTAAACAAATATCAATTCATTAGCTGGGCTCCAAAGTTGCATCCAGGAACATGAATATGTGGATAACTGGACAGAAATCTGGTTAAAATTAAATAATTTCCTTTTCCTGAAATGCCACCTTAGTCCTGGCAAACAGTAAAATGAGCAGTTGTGTAGAAGCATTTTCATGTCTAATATTTTAACATAGTTCTTAACATTACAGTTACCTTCAAATAAAAATGTGTTATCTTTTTAATGTGGTTTTTAATTAATTGCATTAGTTATTTTACCATGGTTTTATCTGGTCAGTATTTTAACTAAAAATTAGTGAAGACTCAAGGAAACATTTTGAAAACAAAAACAAACCAACAAACCCCCAGCTTTAACACACATGACATGTAAGTCCTTTCTTGTTCTTGAGCCAGTATTCATAAAAGATTGTTTTCTTATGTAACTTGGGGAAATATGTCTTCAAAGAAAAATATTGAGATTCAGACTTACTTTGTGTTGTCTCCAAAACCAGTAACTGTCAGAAAAAACCCAAACAATTTAAAACTATAGAAATCACCCTATTTTTATCCTAAATATTATGTGGCACACAATAAAACCACAGGATTTTCATTTACCCCTTTTGATTTTTCATTTTAATGTTTTAATTTTAAAGCAACTAATCAGATGTAAGTGGAATTGCGCTGTTGTATTTTAACTGGCAGAACTTGTTGAGAGACTGTTGTTGACACTCATAGTTTAATCTATCTTGATACTTGTTGATCTCAATATTTAATTATTATAGAAGATTATTTATCTTCTTCTGTATGTATAGTATACCATCTCCTACTACATATTTTTATAGATTGATGTCCTTTGTGGTGAACGATGTGTGTTTTTGTCTTTAATTCTGTTAACCTGACATACCTTTTCCTGAAACTGTTTGTTCTTAGCATTGGTCTAATGACTTTTACACTTACCACCTTATCTCTATATACATTCTTTTTATGCTAGATTAACAGGAAAATTGATTTTTTCCATATTTTAATGGGAACTTTACATGATTTTCAGTAATTGCTCTAAATAACCTATTAAAGCCCCATAGCCATTTGCTTTAAATACAAGACCAAATAGTTCTTCTGGTAAGTTCACTATGGTCTTTTGTCTTATTCTTTATCTATAAATCCAAGGAAATTATCAAGATGATACACTGGGCTAGTCTTTTGCATCCTGATATGCTGTCCTTTACTGTTGTGGAATGTTAGAAAAAAGGTTGAAAACTCAACCAGTGGGTTCCCCTTGAGAGATTTGAATATGTCAGGATGGAAACATTAGTATTACTTCAGTCTTACATCATGACTTGTGCTCTTGCTTCTTGCCTAAAGATTTAAAATCTTCTGGGATGTTCCCACATCATGTTTTTCAGTGCAGAATGATAATGTCTTACAGATATTTAATGGAAAAGATATTCGAAGAGGCCTATAATGGCAGGAAAGCATTTGCAATAAAATTTTAGGCATTAAAATTTTCTTCCTGAGAAAATGAAATGCCTTTGTTAGAAAGTTGCTAAAGCAGGATCAAGTAGAAGCCCTGGAAGAGATACTGCAGTGTGTGATGCTGCATGAAAAATATGACAGCTAGACTGCTTATTCAACAGTACTGCTCAATAGCAACTCAGCAGTGACTGTTCAGTTACTACCATCTATGTCAGTTTTAGATTCATTTTACTTTTGGTGCATGAAATCACCCACAGACATTACTCATAACTAAGCTCTGCATTAGGATATTAAACCCAGGAAATTTGTTGGTTCTGCAGAACCTGGGTAGATAATTGCTTTGCTTTGTCTTTAGAGTGGACTTGGCACTGAGTGCTGTGTTAATTCCAAGTAGAGTAACATTTTATTCCTGGAAATGAAGTGGTACATGAATAAACAAGAGGTCTTAAAAAAGTCTGTGTGCTTTCTAATTATGTGAAATCTCCTGAATTTGTCTTAATATGTTTTCAACAGAATTGATCGTAAGATGTCAAATGCTCATACAAATTACAGACTGGATGAAGCACAAGCTATAATGAGTGAACTTCGAACCATAAAGAAAGCTATATGCACAGGTGAAAAAGAAAGGCAGGACCTTATGCAGGTAAAAAATATGCTACTGAACTACTTAATAGTAGCTATCTACTATTATACTACTATTATAACTACTTAATAAGCTATCTCTGTTTTCTTGCTTGGGGTTGCATTGGGTTTACCAAGTTTAAATAAGAAAGTAGGATGGCCTAAACTGATTTTTCTTTACCACAATAGCAAGCAATTCAAAAAAGGTAAGTAGTCATTGTCTATACTGTGAGCACAAGACTTCATATTCATTTCATATTTTTATCTTAAGTAATGTAGTTAACTATGTTTCATTTAGTTCAGTGTTTTCATTGAATATGGCTTTCTATTGTTGCTATGTTGATGGCTGCTATGTAGTAATTACACTGTATTAAGAAAAAGCCTTTGTGATTTCCAGTATTTGTTTATCCTCCCAAGTTTGAGAGTACATCAAGGCTCATGTTAGTTTCAAAATGTTCTGGCAAAGAAAAGTGTGAATAAATACAATGTATACACAAGCTTGAAATTGATGAATTTAAGAATGAGGATAGAGGGGAGATACCTACCTGAGTAATGATGTAACTTTTTAATAGATTCTGTGCCCTGCCTCAAGTTCTCAGTTGCATGTCTGTGTTGTTAATGCGATAGGAGCTTGATCAAAGAACAATGAGCCCCTCTTACCACAGGGACTTCCCTACAGACTTGCTTAAATATGCTGCATATACAGAGAGGTGATAAGGACAGTTCTCTTCATGCAGTCTTCAAATACTTGTTTGGAAAAAGGCATCTTTGTTACCTATAGTTGGGGGACCATACTAAATTATGTTGCCATGCAAACATTTTCTTTCAGTTTTCTTTGCAGTAGTGTTTTTCATATGATTTTTTTTTTCCAGTTATTAAATTATATGAGACATTTATAATCTGCATATAATGAATTTCCATAGTTATGCAATTATTTAGTCTCCAATGCAATATACAAAGACCATCTTATGGACCACAAATCCTTGCTCAAGTAGACAGAACACTGAAGTCACTATGAAAAGTTTCTGCCTTGGCAACTTTTAACATATTTGTTATTTTGGGCTGGCCAAGTTTTAAAGTGATTCTAAGTCTTCCACATGCCTGGCTAGCAAGAAGTGATTAGAAAGGCAGTTCTTCATGGATGCAATAACACACATTTTAGGAAACTAACTGGTAATATAAGGACTTATGTGTGAGATCTTGGAGCAGTTTAACTACTGGCCTTGTTTTTACTTCCCCAACAGATTTTTTTACCTCTTTTCCCTACATTTTCAGTCCTCTGTGGCAGTAAATCCAGCTGTAAACATTGAGATGCTTCAAAATCTTATTTTGGTAAACCAAATATAAACTTTAAATGTGCTTGCAGTTTCTTTAAATAGTGTTCTGGGAGTTAGAACTTTAGGATCAAGGATTGGGCAGTGCTGGCAGGACCAGAATGTAGCAGTTGCACAAAACAGAAGCAGAAATGAAGTGTTTCATCCTTTTTCATGGCTGTGTGCTGTATACTGGAAATATGAGTCTAGGAAGTATCTTTTTTCAATTAATGACAATCTTTTGTGATGGAAGCCAATAATAGAACATTAGACTATATGTAGTCCAGGAGAATGTAGAGGACAGTTGTTCCGCACAAGTAACATGCGAAAGATTTCTTCATGTTTTGTTACAAATGCTATACAGAATTAAATGCAATCATTTACAAGGTCTACAGTTGTAAAAATGGTGTATTTTTGCCAGCTTACTGTGCTCTGCAAGAATATCCAGCTCTCTTTTTTAATTTTGTCCAAAAAAAAAATTAAAAAATTACTTTTAGTGTCACCAAAGTAATCTGTGCTATGCCTTTTGATAACTATTTGAAAATTATTGTCATGAATTTAGTTAGCTTTGTCAAATAAGTGCAAGTCTGTTGCATAAATATCTTCCTAATGAGTTCAGAATCCAATTTCTATTTTCCTATTAATATTGGAATTGTATTGTCCTTGAAAACACCACATTTTAAAACTGTTTTTATTCAGACAAACTTTCTTAGGACATCTTTTTTACTTTGAAATTTATTAATAGAGGAGTTAGAAGTATAGTGTAAAAAATATGGGGTTTTATTTCAGAGAAAGGAAACAGACTGTTTCTTACTACTTTTTAATTAAAATCTGGCCAGTGTAAGCAACAGAACTAAACATAGTAGAAGTGACTCAGTCTTGTGTAGGTGCTTGGAAAATTGTAGCTGTTGCAGAAGTATGATAATTGGTTTAGTTGTGTGGGAGATGGTGGTCAGATTTAAATTGGATGCTGTGATTACAAGTAAAGCAAAATATGTAGTGCTACTGCTCTAAAAAAGTGGGCAAATTTTTATATAAGGTTGAATAAAAAAGGTGTGTGGTTAGGTTCCTGAAAGCGGTGTGTTTATCTCTCCTCCCCCATCTCTTTCATGACTTTGTTTCTGTTCAGTGTATGTATGCTTTTAAAATGTTGTTGTTCTTGGAGAGCACTGGACTTTGGTTTTTGTGGGGTTTTTATTTATTCTTTTTTCTTGTCTCTTTGTTACCAGTAAAATTAGCTAAATAGGTTAGATAGGAAGTGCAGTGAAACTGTGCAGTGCTCCCAAATCAGATGGCAACAGATAATGGTGAAATGGCAGTGCTCATTTCTCTCTCTTTGGGTAAGTCTGGGCTGGTGTGCCCAGAATTTCACATTAACAGTAGGCTTCTTTGGCAGTTTCCATGGGATTGCCGTAAACAGTCCTTAAACTTGAGATGAAAGATGGCTTTCTCCATGTAGCTGGGAAGGAAATTACTCCTACTGTTTATAATAACAATTACAAATTGTTTCTATCTAAAAATGTGCAAACTTGGGTCGTAATTTTCCATGTTAGGGTTGCTGGTGCCTGTTTTCACTCATCCAACTAGAAGGACTTAATTTCCTGCCAGGGAGAATGCTAGAGGGCATCAGGAGCATGCCAGGAGTTCATAAAGTAGCTGAAATACAGGCAAAAATTTAGATTTAAGTTCTGGCATCAGAATCTGTGGTATTGCACATACCTGTAATATAATGTGTGTTAGCCAAAGGAGGCAGATGGAGCATAACTTATTCGGAGAAACCTCAAGCTTTCTGAATCCTGAGTTTTTGTTGATGCAACTGGCTGTGCTTTACTGGAAAGAGACTATGATCTGAAGTTATTATTTTCATGTTACAAACCCATTAAGAATCCCTTTTGGTCCTCTATACAGCAGGAGTCTTGACAGGACTGGATGATTTCCAGTGAGTTTTGAAGAAGAGTTAGACAGGAGTCTACAGTTTTCATGAAGTAAAAGTTGTTTTTTTTTTACCATGTTGTGGAGCAGTTCCTTTCGCAACAAGTTGTAATGATAAAGGGACACTAGCTAAGGATCTCTTGGCATTGTAACTTGAAATTGAATTTGCTGTTTCAGGACTGAGGAGAAAGTATGTTTTTTGTTCTTCATACTAAAATGGCTCTGTTCAGCTGTGAGGTGGCAGAAGAATTGGCTTTTTTAGTGGACCCAAAGGGTAAGACAAGTTAAGTAGCAGACAAGGTAGACAAGTTAAGCTTCTGGTGGCAAGTGGTGTGGTAGCCTTGTGCCACTGGCAGCATGTCTGGCATTGCTCTGCACTGTCCTCTGTCCTTGCCAATGCTGCTTGTCAAATCCCAGCCCCCCTCAGACCCATGGAGAGCCAGCAGAGACTGAAGAGGGAGCAGAACAAGCTCTGATATGTGGTTGTGTACCTGTGTCTCTCCTTGCCATTCCCTAA